CATTATAATAAAATAAATTCTAAATACCTATATATTTTGATTTTTTTTTTTTTAATCATAGGAAAATCAGAGCTCCCCCTGCCCTGTTCACTCACCAGCACACAGGTCCAGCTGTGGCTGTTTCCGATCCTGCTGCTTTGTGGTGCTAAGCAGCCCTGCTATGCCAATGCCCCTCACTCCTCAGCCTGTTTAGGAAAAGCCCTGCCAGTGTGATTGGAACCCCCCTGCCCTGTCGCTGCAAGCCATGCTGGTATGACTGGCAGGCAGGGCTCACCTTAGGGGTAGACAGTGAGGGCTACTGCCCAGGGCACTGAGGTGGTGGTGGGGGGCATCACAGCACCCCAGGGCAGGGCCCTGACTCAGCTTGGGCAAGGGCAGAAGAGGAGACAGTGATCTGAGGGTGCCCCTCATGCCCGATCTGTAGCCTTCTGTCCCACCCCCAGACCTGCCAGGGGGCCTCCCAGCTGCCTTCAGGACCTAGCCCCACACTGTGTTGGGCAAGGGGTGGGTGTGTTGGGTGGGGTTCTCTGGAGCATGGTCCATGCCCCTATGATGCAGGGCTGGTCTGGACTCATCAGAGCTTGGCCCCTGATGACTGGACTGGCCTACCACCATTGAGGCTATGCCAGGCTCTGGCAAGCCTGAACCGGCCCTGCATCATTGGGGGCCCCCAATGGCACAGAACCAGTCCAGGAACACCCACTGGCAAAGTATTGGGGAGCAATGTGGGGGTATGTGCTCCCCCCAGATTTCTGTGGTAACTGGGGCATGGGGCTGCAGCCTGGCTGAAGCAGCAGGCTTGGTACTGCCACCGGTGCTGGGAGTCCCAAGCCACCACCAGTGGGACCTGCCGCTACCACCCCAGCTGGGCAGCACCATCAGTCCCAGCCCCCAGTCCTGCTCTGAGGGCACCAGGCCTGGTGTGCAGGGGCTCAGTCCACATTCCCACACTGAGCTGCTGCTGCCGGAAGCCACCGCCGCTTTGGCTGTGCAGCACCGCCAGCCCCAGCCCAAGCCAAGGTGTGATGAGGCAGCATGGCCAGGGACAAGACAGCCTGTACCCACCCCAGCCCCAGCTTGTAGAGTGGGGCAGGGTGATTGCCAGGTGCTACAACAGTAGCGTCCTGTATGTCTCAGTGTCCCTGGAGCTGCAGCACCATGGTCAACACTGCCACCTCCTCCTCCATGCAGGTAAGAGAAACTGCCTGCCCATCCCTACCCTTGGCGGGGTGGAATGGGGCTGGGTCCCAGCACGGGGATGCGGCCCAGGTTCCTCAGTGCCAGCCAAAGAGTGCCTGTGGATCCTTCCATGCTCCTCCAGCTGCCCTTCCCTTCCCTTCCCTGTCCCCG